AGTCTTTTACTCCTCAAAGGAATTAATTTACATTGGATTTAGTCTTTAAAAAAAAAAAGCTTCCGTTTACCAAAGCTGGTTTTCACACTGTATCTTATCTTCTACTGCATCTCCCTTGCTAGGAGCAGAACTCTTTATTACACATATCCACTCCTAACAGCAGTAGAATAAACAATATCATTTTTAAAAATCTCATCTGTGCTTGTAATAGAATGCTGCTGTGTTTGGTAATCTGAAATGCTAAGAAACAATCACTTGTGCTTGTGTTTCTAACCTATTTCAGTTCCTGGCCCCGAGGCCATAGAAGAGGTGTTGCATTTGAGTTCATAATAATGCAAGGGGACATTTCAAACAAAAAAACCCTGAAAACCTATTGCTGTTCTTTTTTTTTAAAATCAGTTTAATAAAAATAATTGTGTCTTGAGGAACTGGCTTAGTGAAAAAACAGATTTGTAATACCTAGAATCCTTAGCCTGTTGTTTGCAATGTAGCTGTAGCCATGCTGATAGCAGGATATTAGAGAGACAAGGTAGAGAAAATAGTACATCTTTTATTGCACCAGCTTCTGTTGGTGAGTCTCAGAGGGGTAGCCTTGTTAGTCTGTAACTTAAAAAAAATGAAAAAAAGAGTGGTCCTGTAGCACCTACAGACTACAAAAAGAGTATCACTAGGGGGCTACACCCCCTGCTCGCTACACTTACCAACCCACCTCTCTCTGGGGGTAGATATCTAGCTGGGGGCAGGAGCAGGCTGGAGGTGCAGGATCTCAGTGGAAGAAGTTAGTGAGGGGGGCTAGGGATGCAGGGTTTCAGCAGGGTGGTGAGTGAAGGGCCTAGGGGTGCAGGGTCTTGGCCAAGCGTGTGTGTGATGGGGGTCTGGGGAGGGCGCGAGGCTCCCTGATCTCCCCCCCTCCCGAGGGAGGAGGAAGCAGGGAGGTTGAGGGCAGAGGGGGTGGCGGGAGGCAGAGTGCCATGACATTACTCTGTCTTCCCACAGGAAAAACATTTTTTAGAGAGAGAGACAAATGAGCTTTCATGGGCACCATCCACTTCTTCAGATGAGAAGTGGGTTGTGCCCACGAAAGCTCATCATACTATATACAGTGTGTGTGTGTGTGTGTATATATATACACACACACACACACACACACTTTTGTTTGTTTCTAAGGTGCTATAGGACACTCATTTTTTAAGTTTTTCTGTTGGTGAGAGTCAAGTTTGAGGACGTGTGCTTCAAAAGTTTGTCTCTTTCATCAATAAAACAATACTCTCATATCCACCTAGTCTAACTCTGTGCTTATCCTTGAATAACAAATAGTTTACTGAATGCATAAAAGTGAAAATAAAAAAAGCAAGCCATAGTTAAGAAGAGCTCTGTACTACATCAATTCTTTCAAAATATTCCAGGAAGTGACCACTAAACTTCCCTCCATAGATCTGGGACTCAAAAGCTGCTGCAAATTCTACCTCTTCCCTTAGCATTTTTGCTCCCTTACATGTTATTCTCAGTTGGTTGCATTGCCCATCCCTGTGTATAGCTTCCTGCTAGGAGTAGGTCACTGGATCCTGGGAACTAAGAAGCCTCCATCTCTTCCCCTACAATCCTAATAAAAACAATTTGATGACTCACCATCTGACCTTGCATGTTACCAAAATACCATTACATTGCTGCATACTTCCTGAAAGTTAAAAGGCACATTCCTTGCATTACTGCCAATTTAAAGGTGGCAAAAATCTAACCATCCGTATATCCGTCTGCTCTGGCATGCACTTACTTCCTTTACACACATTAAAATACAGTATAATCTAGCTCCTCTGTTCACCCATTCAAACCACTGTGAATCCAAAACACATCCTCTACTGACGAGACTCTCACAACCCAGTCAGTGGAATATTCTATATTCAGAGGAGTATTTAAAACACTATTCCCAAAAAGCACAAGGACACTGCCACGCAAAATGAGAATGTCAATAAGCATTTTACTCTATGTGCCCTTTCACAGAACTAAATTTGATTACAACTATGGTCTCTATTCTAGAATAACGATGTAAAATCCCATTTAAAATATGATGTTTAACTGGTTAACCGATCTGCTGTGTTGCACCCTGCGCAGGAGCCACTGAAACAAGTCACTCCGTGGCACAGTGGGCCCAACCAAGCTGGAGCAGCCACAGGTAGGGCAGCGCTCTGGTTGGGGTGGGTTCCAGTTAACTTGTTACCCATTTATATCCCTATTCTGGAGTATTATTTTCCATAAGTCCCTACCTAACCACTGGGAAAAACAATCTCTCTGTCCTTTGTATACCAACTTTGGCAGCTACCTAGCTTGCACAATATTTATTATGAAGTTCATGGTAAGGTTGGCAAAAACAGAATGCTCAAGTGTCACTAGTGTATTGACTGCTTGCGCTGGTGCCAACAATAGTGGCCTTCATGGAGCAGCAGAAGTAAGCTGGAAGCGTAAAGGCCTTCCCCTAGTTTGTACCTGCAAGTCTGCATAAGGATCAAGCAGCACAGAGGGGGAAAAAGGCAGGAGAGTTCAATCTACTGCTGTGTTTGGGGTGTTCAACCCATGTTATCTATGGGCATGCCTACACTACAATCTTAAACCACCTTAGTAATTATTGTGGTTTTTCATATCCACATGACCCTCCTCCTGTTGGTGAAGCTAATCCTCACTAGAAGTGTGCTAATTTGTTATGTACACCAATACGGAGGTAATGTGTTCCCCTACACATTGGTGCACATAAAATTCATTCTGCTTAAGGAGTTATGGGAGGGGGCTCAGGGTTGGAGAGGATGAGGGCTCTGGTTGGGGATGCAAGCTCTGGTGTGCTGGAGGGGGCTCAAGCCTGGGGCAGAGAGCTGGGGTGCAGAGATAAAGGCTGTGGCTGGGGATGCAGGGTCTGGGCTGGGGCGGGGGGTGGG